GGTGGGGTTAATTTCTAAGTTATACTATTTCCAATCCTCCATTCAGAGAGCAATTAAATTGTCATAGAATTTTTGATTCGCAAGTAATGTGAGTTGGCAAAATGTATTATGGTTGCCCAATGTGTATACGAATTTTCGTAATATTATATAAATTTACATCAATCACGATCAAAAGATACAGAACATTGGATCTTACTCTAATCAGATGGTGAAGCACAACTATTCACAACTATTCCACCTTGAAAGAATAGTCTCGACTTTAGATTATTCTTTCGGATTTTCGCATACTAGTCTCGAATTCTTTCAAATTTCTGAAAAATTGTTTTTTTTTTTTTGGGATGAGCTAATATACTCATAGAAAGTTTGGACTTACGTCAGAATCTCTCCAGATCCCTGATGAGCAGAGCAGGTAAAATGTGTGTTGATGAGCCGATCGCATACCATCCCATACCAAGTAGAGTTTTAACCTCTAGAATGCTTTACAGTGATAGCTATAGTAAGAGATATTTGTTACTATCAACTAAATTTACTCAATTCAATAAGAACTTTAAAGTGATAATTACAGATGTCTAATGATTATTTTGTGGAAGTGGAAGTATTTTATTGGTAAAAGCCTAACAAATTATATAACACTTGCAGAAAAAAATCCAATATGAAATAACCTCTTTGGAACTGTTTATAACAAATTTGTTTTTCATTAGAGATGATGAATTGATTTTTGACGTGATGTGGCGTGTGATAGTGAATGTGTTTTTTCTATTGAACAATGGTTTATTGCCTATTTGTAGTGTTAGTGTCCCACATGAAAAACAAAAAAATGTGAATCACATAATTAAACGTACAGTTACGGTCTAAAATTATTAGCGCTAGATCATAGAGACAAAAACATAATACTAACGTAAAATCTAAAAAACTTTGGAAATATTGTAGTGTTAGTGTCCTCGTACACGCCTAATAGAGTTTCTTCAAACTTCATAGAATCTCTAAATAATTTAATACTAATATTTTTAATATATTTTAACTATAGAAATTTATTATGTTAATTTTTCCTCTCCAATGACAAGAGATTCAATACGTTTATCACTACTATAAATAATATATTTTTAAACTATTTTATATATTTTTTAAAAAAACTCTTTTATTAATATTTTTTTTAAAACATATCAAATTACAACTAGTAATTTCAAATTACTAATTTTGTATTATTTTACTAAATTTAATTAATATCAAGTAAAGAATAATATTAATATATAATTTAAAGGGGGATATTGGGAATAGAATTTAGATAGAGTTTGTGAATTTTAAATGTTTAGATATTTGTTAAATTTGTAGAAAGATTTGTTAAGTTTGAAAAGAGTTTTGTGTATTTAATAAATCTATCAAATAATTGTATCGTAAGAATTTTGAAAATCTTATGTATATATTTAAGTTTGTGAAAATTTTGTTTAATGAGTTAAATTGTTAAAAATTTCAACTAATACTGGATTTTGCTAGAATGAAAGAATCATTAAAAACTAAACTTTTTGAATAACACTTGATCTCATTAAGTTTGTTAGAATTTATAAACCAATAACAATGGATTGTTAAAATTTATAAACCAATAATAGTGGATTTCATTAAAATTATTAGAATTTACAAATCAATAACAATGGAATCTAAGAATTATAAGAATCATATTCCCAATAACAACTTATGCATAATGGGACATGATGGATAAATGATTTTATTTTAAGATATGCAAAAAACAAATTAAAAAAAATAACGACATATAAACTATCTAATTATTGTTCTAAATTATTGTATATTTGATTTGTTATCACAAAAAGTTGAACCAATAAAAAAATCATGTGTCCAAGAGATGAGATTTTCATGGAGATCTACATGAAGAACCGATTATTCTCTCTTTTAAATTATTTTTTTTAATTAAGAGAAACTCCTATAAAAATCCATGACAAACTCTCATTGCAGACGCTCTATAAATCATGAAATTTACAAGAAAAAGTACAAGTTTTAAGCTTTGA